TTAAAAAAAATCATGTATGAACAAATATTATATAGATCGATATCGCAAACAACTTTTATTTCAACAATTTTCATAAAAATCAGAATTTTGCACATTTTGTCAAATTTCTCGAATACGGACCATTTCAGGAAATTTTTACATAAGGCAAAAATTATAGATAATAATATTAGAAGTAACTTTTATTTGAACAATTTTCTTCTCCAAACATAAATAACAGATATATTCCATAAAATATATAAACGGCCTCCCATAAAGTACCCCCCCAGATGTTCCGACTTTGTCCAAAATCTAATCATTTCACGTCAGGCCGAAATAAAACTTAAGTTTAAAATTTATTGATTTTTTCTTTATCCGTTTTTGAGTTTTCTTCAAAATTCGAAATTTACACATTTTCTCAAATATCTCGAATACGGTCCATTTTAGAGAAATTATGTATAGAATAAAAATTATAGAGAATTATATTACAAACAACTTTTATTTAAACAATTTTTATAAAAAATTATTTTTTTTACATTTTGTCAAATTTCTCGAATACGGACCATTTTAGGAAAATTTTGTATATAGCAAAAATTATAGATAATTATATTAGAAGTAACTTTTATTTTAAGAATTTTCTTCTCCAAACGTAAATAACAGATATATTCCATAAAATATAAAAATGACCACCTATAAAGTACCCCCCCAGATGTTCCGACTCTGCCCAAAATCTAATCAGCTCATTGGACGCTGAAACAAAGCTTAAGTTTAAAATTTGGTGTTTTTCGGTGTATCGGTTCATGAGTTATGCGTTATACAGACACACACACACACACACACACACACACACAGACACACACACAGACACACACACAGACACACACACACACAGACATCATCGCGAAAATAGTCAAAACGGATTCAGGAGACCTCAAAACGTAAAAATCCGTCGAAAACTCGAGGTCGAAAAAAATCATGATTCCTATACTTTCCTTATATCTGTATACAGATAGGAAAGTAAAAAATCTGATGTGTCCAACACATGACTTTCCTATCTAGTTATTATAGGCATTTTCCGGTTATTTTGTACAACCTATTGCAGCATCTCTATAAATGTTTAGAGGATAAACTAAATATATACATTTTACACATACATCTACCTCGAAACATTTTTTTATAGATATTCATTGAAAACGAAAATACAGAAAAATTTAAATTTAGCACTTTTTCATTACGGTCCATTTTAGAAAAATCATGTATAAACAAAAATTATAGAAATCGATATCGCAAACAACTTTTAGTTCAACAATTTTCATAAAAATCAGAATTTTGCACATTTTGTCAAATTTCTCGAATACGGACCATTTCAGAAAATTTTGACATAAAGCAAAAATTATAGATAAAAATATTAGAAGTAACTTTTATTTGAACAATTTTCTTCTCCAAACATAAATAACAGATATATTCCATAAAATATAAAAACGGCCTCCCATAAAGTACCCCCCCAGATGTTCCGACTTTGTCCAAAATCTAATCATTTCACGTCAGGCCGAAATAAACCTTAAGTTTAAAATTTAATGTTTTTTCCTTTATCCGTTTTTGAGTTTTCTTCAAATTTCGAAATTTACACATTTTCTCAAATATCTCGAATACGGTCCATTTTAGAGAAATTATGTATAGGACAAAAATTATAGAGAATTATATTACAAACAACTTTTATTTGAACAATTTTTAAAAAAATATATTTTTTTTACATTTTGTCAAATTTCTCGAATACGGACCATTTTAAGAAAATTTTGCATGAAACAAAAATTATAGATAATTATATTAGAAGTAACTTTTATTTGAAGAATTTTCTTCTCCAAACGTAAATAACAGATATATTCCATAAAATATAAAAATGACCACCTATAAAGTACCCCCCCAGATGTTCCGACTCTGCCCAAAATCTAATCAGCTCATTGGACGCTGAAACAAAGCTTAAGTTTAAAATTTGGTGTTTTTCTGTGTATCGGTTCATGAGTTATGCGTTATACAGACACACACACACACACACACACACACACACACACACACACAGACACACACACACACAGACACACACACACACACACAGACATCATCGCGAAAATAGTCAAAACGGATTCAGGGGACCTAAAAACGTAAAAATCCGTCGAAAACTCGAGGTCGAAAAAAATCATGATTCCTATACTTTCCTTATATCTGTATACAGATAGGAAAGTAAAAAGGAAAATAATTCTAACTCAAATGTGTACTTGGTCAACATCTTTCGAGCTAGGTGGATTGGGTGAAGAGGATCAATCGAATTGCCACCTATGTAGCCAAATTTAAGTCCTCTTAATTTATTTTGAAGAGGATGTTTAAAAAGTAAATTATACCAAAATATATATCAAAATATCGATGACATCATAGAACGCATATGGATCAAGATGGCACAAATAACTCCGAAAGTTATTGAAAGAATTCGAGAAGAGTTCACTCTGTTGTAGCTAAAGGCTGTCAATTTAAGCATTTGCTTTGAATTTGGTTGTATTTAATAAACATGAATATTAATTGTTATAATAAAAATATTTGAAAATGTAAATAAATAAAAGGGACAAAGAAACAACATAACACAGTCCAACATGAAAAGATCATAAGAAAAATCTGCTAGGCAACCGAATACTGTAGGTACTTATCTAATAGTCCCTCATCTGGGTACCAGAGGCAGTTTGTGACCTAGTCTACGAGGACGCTACGGAGGCTACTTTTGAAAGGCACACCCTATATATTTAATACAAATATATTATGACGTAATTTGGCTAACTAAAAATTAAACACTCTATGTTTGGTTTTGAAAATAGAAATGAAAATCAATGTTTCGGGAAAAAAAGTCAATTTTGAAATTTTTAGAAATTAATTAGGCATTCCAACGACCTGTCAAACAATAGGTGCCAGTGGAAAATTCTTGTATATTTAAGGGGATAGTGACATAGTCTTGCAACTTGGACGCTATTTTTATTCGAAGTAGTACTCGCCAAGCCTGCCAATTTATGAAGAAATGTATAGGTGGGTTTTCAAACTTAAGCTTTATTCCAGCGTTTAATGAACTGATTAGATTTTGGGCAGAGTCAAAACATCTGGGGGGGTACTTTATAGGTGGTCATTTTTATATTTTATGGAATATATCTGTTATTTACGTTTGGAGAAGAAAATTTTTCAAATAATAGTTACTTCTAATATAATTATCTATAATTTTTGTTTATTACAAAATTTTCCTAAAATGGTCCGTATTCGAGAAATTTAACAAAATGTAAAAAAAATAATTTTTTATAAAAATTGTTCAAATAAAAGTTGTGTGTATTATAATTCTCTATAATTTCTATTCAATACAGAATTTCTCTAAAATGGACCGTATTCCAGATATTTGAGAAAATGTGTAAATTTCGAATTTTGAAGAAAACTCAAAAACGGATTAAGAAAAAAACATTAAATTTTAAACTTAAGGTTTATTTCGGCCTGACGTGAAATGATTAGATTTTGGACAAAGTCGGAACATCTGGGGGGGTACTTTATGGGAGGCCGTTTTTATATTTTATGGAATATATATGTTATTTATGTTTGGAGAAGAAAATTGTTCAAATAAAAGTTACTTCTAATATTATTATCTATAATTTTTGTTTTATGTCAAAATTTCCTGAAATGGTCCGTATTAGAGAAATTTGACAAAAATGTGCAAAATTCTGATTTTTATGAAAATTGTTGAACTAAAAGTTGTTTGCGATATCGATCTCTATAATTTTTGTTTATAAATGATTTTTCTAAAATGGACCGTGATGAAAAAGTGCTAAATTTTAATTTTTCAGTATTTTCGTTGTCAATGAATATCGTATAGAAAAATGTTTCGAGGTAGATGTATGTGGACAATGTATATATTTAGTTTATCTTCTAAACATTTATAGAGATGCTGCAATAGGTTGTACAAAATAACCGGAAAAAGCCTATAATAACTAGATAGGAAAGTCATGTGTTGGACACATCAGATTTTTATTTATATTATTAATTTGTATTTTAATTCTTTGCTTCATATTTTCAAACTCTTACTATTGTATTGTTATAGTTATAAGTTATATTTATTATTATTTTGTCGTATTTTTTGTCACACACAATTTGTCAGTGTACTTTGTACAGTGAGCAGATTCAATGACACATTTCTTATTTATTTACATTTTATTTCCTCTTGGATTTTATTGTTTCTGAATGTATGTATTTCTGGTAAATAAACGTTATTATTTTTATTATTATTTACAAATTCAGGGACAGTTATCCATTACAGGAAGGAACTATTGTTATTTTGTTGTGTGATTCCTAATTGCCCCAATCCACGTTGAAAAAAATTAATTGCGATGACAGGTTCTGAAAATGAAAGTTTCTTCCGAACTTGTAAGATTTTTATTTCAATGCGGCTGTACTCAAAATAATAGAAGAGTTGTGTTTGAACTTAAAATTTTTGTTAGAAAGGCTCACGCCAGGAGTAAAATGAGCTCAAGATATTAGTTGCACTTTTTGCATCTCTTTCATAGTGGGTTTTTAATTAATTAATTTTTTATTATTACTCGCATATTATCTACATATATTAAATTAATTTATTACGATTTTTATTTCAGCTTTTATGATTACTTGGCTTTATGATATATATTCCTATATTTTTGTACTACGTTTTAATGAGCACTGACACCCAAATAAATAAACAAATAAACCAACTAATATATCGACTGTGCGTATACAAATTCTTTATTTGTTTTTATCAAAATCGCTCCATAAAACCGAAAATAGCCCACTCGAGTAGTGCATCAACAAAGTGAAAAACCGAAAACCCGGCAACGTTGTTTTCCAAAGACGTAAATAACCCCCCTAAATAATTTTTCACTCAACCAAATCGCCACTCATCGACTATACATATACAGCGGGATAAACGTTTATCAAATTGCGAATAAAATTTTCAGCTCAGCTTTCCCGGCATAAAAAGAAAAATTTATTCCGAATATTTATATTGCGAAAAGTGCTTCGTCCAAAAATCTATTTCAGTGCTCGAGAACGTCAGTTAAAACTGAAAACGTGGAAGTTTTGTGTCAAACATTAACGTTTTCTAGAGTGTTTGTTCGACGTTATAATTTTGTGTGGAATGATTTTTTGATAAAATGGGGATGATTACGAGGGTCAGGGGCAGGTTGAGGAGTTTACACACTCTGCCGAAGATCGATCCCGAAGAGAGGAATGAAAAAATCGCGGAAACTGGTGAGTTGGTTTTAAAAATGCGTATAATTTTTTAGAAAATGCTTTCCAAGTTAATAATATTATTGTGCTGGGACGAAAATGTAGAGTCGGATTCTTTAAATTAAAATAAAAAGAAAAATGCCTATAAATATATTTCCGAAAATGCTTTGTTTCCGAGATACAAGTGTTTTTAAAGATTCCGTATTAACTATTTGCCACCCTAATTAAGGACTTTTTATCCTACAGCCCCGAAAAAATAAGTTTTATAACAAATTCGGTCAAAAGAAAATGCTTGCAATTATTTTTAACTCTCTATTTAAATCGTTAGAGGGCGTAATTCGCTATGGTAATGCAAAAATTCACTTTTCTCCTATAAATGTCCACTAATAGTATGATAATAATAAACAAACGTTAATTTCGTAAAAATTTTATAAAAGTTTCATCAAACACTTTTTGATTTATTCAATAAAATAACTGGTAGGGGCGATAGGGAACCTTAATTTAATAAAACTATTATAACTACTGTGTCGTTCATCAGATTTTGAAGAACTTAGTATCGATTAAAAACAAATTGGTTGTTTAGTAAAATATCTTAATATAGTTATGATTCAGTTGTTTAAACGAGCAGTAGCGTTCTTTAAATATTTACGAATTTTTCGGAGTTTTCTTGAAAACTTTAAACGGAATGTTATAATTTGTATATTTTCTTTCCAAAGAGAATTTATTTTAACAAGAAACAGTAAAAATTGGGTCCTATCATTTTTTTCCTAACGGAATATATAAGCGAAAGTCTATAAAGGTGAATAGTCCGCCTAGATATATAATAATACATAAAATTATGTACAAGGATGTATCAGAAAATAACGAGACTGGTGCTATAGTATAACAACGAAACATTTGTTTAAAAAAATTCAACAACTATCCTTCGAAGTACTCTCCATTCTGTTGAATACACTTATTCCATCGCTTTATCCACTTATCATAAACTTCTGAGAAACCATTTTTTGATAGTCTGTTTAGTATACCCATCACAGCGTTGTTGAGCTCTAAATCCGACTCAAATCTTCTACCTCTCAATTCTTTTTTGACTTCAGGAAACAAATGGAAGTCACATGGAGCAAGGTCAGGAGAGTAGGGGGGATGAACCATAATTTCAACCCCTAATTCTTCAATTGTTCGTTGACAAATCATTGATCTATGAGCCGGAGCATTGTCGTGATGCAGCGTCCAGCCAAAGTCCTGATAAAGCGGCCTTTTTTTCTTTAATTTTGCCTTTAAGGGTCCTCGAAGTACATTAGAATAGTACTCCCCTGTTACTGTATGTCCTCTAGGTACAATGTGATCCTAAATAACGTCAAATTTATCAAAAACAATCAGGTGCATCACTTTACCAGCGCTTTTAGCAGTTTTGGCCTTCTGCGGTCTTGGGCTGCCTTTATGCTTCTATTGCATACTTTGAGACTTCAATTCAGGATCGTAATGATATAACCAACTTTCGTCACATGTAACCATATTATTTAAAAACTGTGGGTTACGTTGCAATTGCCTTTTTCACTGCTGACAAATTGTCACTCGATTTGCTTTTTGTTCATCGGTCATCACTTTTGGAATCCATCTTGCCGCGATCTTCCGGTACTCTAAATCTTCATGAATAATTTTTTGAGTGGTACCGTAAGACAAATTAACATTGTCAGAAATTCGTTTTATGCCAATCCGACGATCATTTTGTATCAAGTCGTTAATTTCTGCAATTTTTGTGTCATTTCTCGCAGTTTGTGGTCGACCGGGACGAGGTTCATCTTCAATTGATTCACAACCGTCTTTAAACTTTTTATGCCACTCAAACACTCTACATCGTGATAAACTATTATCTAGATATGCACCTTTAATCATTTCAAAAGTTTCAGTTGGTGTTTTACCTAATCGAACACAAAATTGTATCGCGTATCTTTGCTCCACTTTCATTTTTCAATGGGTACGCAAAACACTGACAATTCAATAAATAATTTGTAACAAATGTCAAAAGTTAAATCAAAGCCTACTTGCGGGGTAGTTCATTAAATATAAGGCTTTTATGTCTCATTTTTTGGGTCATAAAGTGTTACCTCTGAAAGAAGTTATAGCACCAGTCTCGTTATATACTGATATATCCTCGTATATATTAATCTAGTTGGCTTTAATACGTCAGTAATTTTTTGATAGCTTAGCTGTAATGATGAACACAAAAAAATAATAAAATCCTATTTTAATTAACTCTTTAGTGTAAGTTTACTGGTTTAATAAAACTAAAAATGTGAAATAAAAATTGAATACATTAATAAAATACAAAAAAAGTAACTAAAACAGAATAAAATAAAAAACACTAATAGAGTACCCGATGCCTTACATAATTCTGACACAAAATATTAAATTTAAACATCCTACAATAATTATGTTAATAGTGAAATTTGTCCGTATTATTCTAGTTGGCTTATAAATGTCAATAAGCTTATGTTAAATGGATATGTGTAAAAATATATTTTAATGAGGTATACATATAATATATAAATTATATTTTGGAATATTTGAGAATGCTCTGATTGCCTCAAGAGAATTCGGCAGTTAAGAGAAACATTTTGAAATGTGTCAAATCGTTTAAAAGAAACCGTATGTGTTTAACCTAAAAAAGGTAATCAACAACGTCGATGAAGCAAAACTCAAATTAACGAAACACATATAGCTGCAAATCCACATAAAGGTACACAGAAAATTGCTTCCGACTTAGGACTTACTAGGTACTGTGTTTGTTCTATTTTAAAACAACATCGTCTCCAGCCATACTATCTAGCCCTTCATCAAGGTCTGTAATTTACAGATTATGATAAAATGATGTAATTGGCTTCAGAATATGCTTAATTTTTATCACATAGGTGGCAAGACAATTAAATAACCAGACTACACGCATGTCTTAGCTATTAGACTTAGTGTGAGGCAGCGGGAATGGAATATAGTGCACCAGTACATCTAGTTTAGTTTGTTTTTAAGACGTTGTATTGGAGTGCCACGATTTTGATAAGCCTAAACAATAAGCAACGTATTAATTTGAAATTCCTCGTGAAAATAAAAATCTCTCACAGAATGTTTTCAATTGTTAAAGGACGTATATGGAGAGAATTTTATGTCACGTAGCCAACATTTTTAATGGAACAAACGATTTTCGGAAGTTCGGGAGTTTGTTGAAGATGATGAACGTTCTGGTCAAAAACATTAAAAAAATTAATGGACTTATGCGTAAAGACTGACGTTTGAGCAAGGGGCATCGATAAATTTTATTTTTGGGAAGAGTACCTTTTAAGAGTTGAAAAACTTTTTTCGGGGCGCTACACTTACAGGCATGGAAAATATTGAATACAGAGCTAAGTACACATTTGAATATCATCATCATCATCATCTGAATTAGGGCGTGGTTCAAAGCCCACTTGTACTGAAGCTCTAGGCTTATTGTACCCCTCACAGTTTCTATCCCATCAGATTGATTTTCTTGATGAATTCAAGAATATGTCTGATGGGCGCTTTCGCGATTTCTTCAGGTTCCGGATATTGTACCCCGAAGTACCATTCCCGTTTCCATTTAAGGTTCCGGCAGTGGCATAGTATGTGAATATGAGTTTGGTCCTCCTCTTCACATATTCTACATAGGGAGTCATCAGATATCCCTAAGAGATTTAGGTGTCTTCTAAGGCCGCAGTGTCCCGTAAGGAGTCCTATTACGGCCTTGAGTTCGCTTCTGCTAAGGTTTAGCAGTTGATGTTTGCTCGTGGATGGCCCCTCTATGGATACACATTTGAATAAGTATGCTAATTGCAAACCTGTAAAGCAGATTTGACCGAACTAGAAAGATTCTCATCAGTGGCAGTTACACATTTTTTAAACTCGGCATTTTAAAGATACAAGAAATATTTTCTTTCGTTCGTAAAATTTGATTAATTTTCTGTTAAGTTTATTTTTGAATTTAATTTAAAAGCAGTAATTAATTATTTACTAATTATTCTTAGAAGAGGGTAGTTACCCCATACCCTCCCCCATTTCGATGCCCTTGGCTTGAGTTTTCGGATTATATTAGATATTACAAGCATTTAAGGAGAGACAATAATAGTATATTATGCAACGATCATGTAATGATGGTTATTAATACACGAGCATTAACCGGGATACGAAACGAGCCAAAGGCGAGTTTCGTATGGTTTATGCGAGTGTATTAATAACCATTACATGAGAGTTGCATACGCTATTTTTTCTACACCCGATAAATAATCAAGAACTATAAATATTATATTCATATTGGTATTGAACACAATAACAATAATTACTCGTGTATTTCTATAAAAAATTCTACAAAATTGTAATTAATGGTATTACTTCGGGTATTGGTATTTCCCTAGATTTTTGCGGCAAAATATTTTGTACTGTATTTTCTGCTTTCTCCGATATGTGTGGAGGAGTCTTCTATATCGCTGATATCAGACATTTTAATATTATAATTAACGAAGTTTAGTTATCTACCAAAATTTAATACGTTTTGACAACTAAAACAAATACATAGGAACCTAGGACAAACGTCAAACAGCATGCTTGATTGAAAAATTGTAGGTTTCTATTGATTAAAAATCTGTATCGTAATGAAAAATCTGTATCGTAATGAAAAATCTGTATCGTAATGAAAAATCTGTATCGTAATGAAAAATCTGTATCGTAATGAAAAATCTGTATCGTAATGAAAAATCTGTATCATAATGGGTATCATTATGAAACGGATTATGGGCATATAAGTGCATTATTATAATACGGGTGTAGAAAAAAAACATTTTGAACGAGGTTCTGCATAGAAGATCCTGACCTTATTAAAAAAAAATATCACATGTGACGAAACGTGGATTTTTCATTACGACCCTGAAACCAACCGACAATATATGCACTGGAAGACAAGGGCCAAAAAAACTTGAATGAGATAACGCCCTTTCTGTAAAACAGTTGTTGACGGA